TGGGAGGCTGAAGCAGGAGGATCATGATATTCAGGCTCCATCAAAAAAAAAAAAAAGATTAAAAATACTGGACTGCTCAACAAATACTGGATATCCAGTGTAGTTGTTTTCAAAATATTACCTGGAGACCCCAGGGAGCCCTTGAGATGATTTGGGGGTCCACAGGGTCAAAATTATAGTCATGATAATGCTAGACTTTGCCATTCTCATTCTCTGTCTCTTTTGAACATACAGTAGAGTGTTCAGACTCTGCATGATAGGTGTGGATGTAAGATGGAATAACAGAAACATACAGGGCAATCTTGTTAGTAATATTTGCTAGTAAGCCAGACATTAAAGAGATTTGCACTAAATTTAAGTCAAATCACTCTCCTGGCTATACTTAGGTATTAGATAAATAGTTAGTTTTCGTAAAAACATGATTTTAAGATTTAAGGTGCCTTGTTGAATCTGTATGATTAATTTTCTTAGTCTTAATTTCTAATGTAGTATGAGCAAATATCTTAGATATAATATACATAAATAAAAGCTCTTTAAAGTCTTCAATAATTTTAAAAATACAAAGGGGTTCTGAGACCAGAAAGTGAATTCCAGGCTCCATGCTAAGTTCTGAGGATAACGAGATCAATGAGCTTGTAACTCCATGGGCAAGTCACAGGAAAAGCCTGTCAGGTCCCTCCCAACATCTCTCACTCCTCATGGCTTGCTATGACTTCACATGAGGATCATTGCATCATGTAACATGCATGACATGTTCTGCCTTAAATGCCTCATCAGTGAGAGACTGTGCAATTTATTGTCCAAACCAGGATACTGATGTCTGATCTGAGCAGACATGCCATTCAAGGTCATGCTGGGACAGCCATCATCCTGTGACAGCTCCTACAGAAAAGTTCTTCCGTGCTCTTGAACATAACTGGAGGTACAGGTTGTGAAAGGTTCCCGGGGTAGGAAAAGGACACTTGGCACTATCCATACGTGGAAGAGGAGCTTGAGTAGCTCAAAATGGGAAGGAGGACTCAGGGGAGGGACACTGGGGTGAGACCACAGAGGGCAATTCCAGTCAGAGGGCTTCGATGCAGACAAGAAGTAGGACATCACTGTAGCTGGGCCTGCATCTTTGGACTCAGGCCACTGAGCACTGGGATAGTAGGTTCTTTCCAGCTGGTTGTCCTTTACTAAAAGTGAAATAAGAGCAAATAGAAATATTTTCAGGTGACGTGATGGAAGGATAATGGGTTTAATGAGATTCTTTGTAGGTATGAGGTGAACAAAAAGGACTCTGGGTACATGGATTTGGTCCCCAACAGGGCACCCTCCAAGTGGAAGAAGGTAAGTCTGCCCCACTGAGGTTTTATTTTACTCTTTTACACGTTTCTAAGTTTTAACACCTAAGATTCCCCAAATGAGGAGTTTCAGGCATGTTGTATTTTAAAACCCGCAATGGTAACCAAGGGTCTGTGATGTTGGACTCACATGGGAAGGTCCACGTTTGCGTCCAGATGTCTTCCTGGATGTGTCGGGTGTGTGCGATCCAGGCTAGTTGAGGCTGGGAGTGGGTAGTGGTGTGAAGACCCTGTTGGGAATATCCAGCTTTCTTTCCTCGCTTTCTCTATTTCTCACTGTATCTCTCACAGAAGAAATAAATAAAATAATACACTTTTAAAAAGTTACATATTTTGATTGTTCTAAAGTAAATAGTAGAAAGTGGGTTAGGGAAGGGAAAAAAAAAAAAAAAACACGCCATTGCAGGTCAGCCCTGGGAAATTGACAGCTTTTGACAGATTACAATGATGATGTTACACTCCAGGAGAGCATCATCGGTGGGACATCATCCAAACAAGGCACAAAGATGAGCCCCAGCCCAGCTGTTTGCAGCTGACTCCATGTATTTACCCTGTCCCCAGGGGTGGAATGCCTCAGGGAACCCAGGACCTGCCCATCCTAAGTCCTGGCCAGCTACAGGGACTGCTCAGGAGACCTGGGATCTCCCCCAGTTCAGTCACTGCTAGCTGTGAGCCTTGTCTATTAATTCTGGTTCTGTACACCCGACGATTGCAGGTAATAACCTCTTCTAGGGTATTGTGGCGATTACAGGTGAGTTTATCAAGGTGCTGGGACGCTATCAATGATAGAAGGCAGCACTGAACATATTATAAGAGGGGTCTTCAAAAGTTTGTGGGAAATGCATAGTATGAAGAAATTATGCATGGATTTGAAAAAATTTTGTACTGAAATAAATTCGTACATTAATTCCATTTTTCCTGTACTTTTCCAAGTCCCCTCTTCTGCACAAAAATACCTATAATAGAAATTTCCTAAAAAGCCAGCAGAAAACTTTGCTCTAATAAAATAATGATTTGGTCACAATATAGTAAATGACCAGCTTTTTTTAAAAGGTTGCATCATGCAATAAAAACATATATAAAAAAAAAAAAAAAAAGAAGCCTGAGAGGGAGGAAGGGGAAGCAGGAGGACAAGAGAGTGAAGATAAAATTAGAAAGACAAGATTGGTTCCCTTAACTCAGAATCCAATGGTGTCATCTCCTTGACAACTGGCCCTGCAGAGGGATGGGGGGCCAGAGGTCAAGTCCCAGGGGCTCACCTGCCTCAGCAGAAATCCAGGCCCCAGGCTGGCTGGGCGGCAAACTGGAAAACCTGAAGTGGGAAACTCCCAGACAGCTGCCTGTGGCCTGCAGCCTCGTAGTCTGAAACAGGGCAGCAGTGTACAGGGCTGCAGCCTCACGGGGCTGTGGGTGGCAGGCAACCAGATGGGCACAAGGTCCCAGCAGTGAATCCATAGCTGAGCCTATAGAAGTTTCTGTCCCAGGCTTGGAGTCTAGAGAAACTTCCAGAGGTCTCTTTTGACAGACAATGGCATCCATGTCTCCCTTTCTTGGCAGAGAGCAATGCCACGTGGTTCCTGCCATGCTGCTATGCCTAGAGGTAGCTTTGTGACCAACCTACACTGTGTCTGACTGAAGTGCCCAGTGCATACCAGGTCATAGGTGGACAAAGGCAGTGACCCAGTCAGAGTCCAGCCCAGGTGGCTTTTGTTCCCATAAGTCATGTTTGCATGCAAGTTACAGATTCCTAAGAGGCCAGAGGCTTGAGCCAAATCTGATTTCAGGAGCCAGCCCATAGCCTGGGGGTTAAGGTAGCTGCATCCTACATGGCTGACCATGTGGTTCAAGTCCCCGATCTGGTGGCTTGAAAGACATCCCAGGTTGGGAACCAGCAGTTAGCGTAATGTCTATGTCGCTGGACTCCCACGTAGTAGACTGCAGTTCAAGTCCCGGACCCGGTGGCTTAAAACTCACGCTGGGTGCATGTGCGTGCGTGCGTGCCCAAGATCCCGAGAGGAGAATGGAGGAGAAGGGATTGAGGCATGACCATCCCCTCTGGGGGGTGATTTCTCGCTTTCTGTCTCTATGTCTCTCTCTGTCTGGCGAGTGCACACGCCCTATAGTGAAAACCTCTCCAAAAAAAAAAAAAGAAAGACATCCCAGGTGTATGTGCCTGTGTGCCTACAATCCTGAGATAGAGGCATGGAGGAGAAAGAATTGCACGTGACTGCCCCATAGAGGATCTTTCTCCCATTCCGTCTATGTCTCTTTCTCTGTCTCTCTCCAGCAAATGCACACACCCTCTGGAAAATTTTAAAAAATGACTTCAGTTTGCTATGGTCTGAATGCTGATGTGCCTTTAAATGGATATGCTGAATCTTAATCCCTGGTATGATCCAATAGCCTCCTCCCCCAACTCTTCATGGTTTTACTTTCCACAATTTCAGTTCTCTGCAGTCAACTGCAGTCTGAAAATTGGTAAGTACAATATGACAAGGTATTTCAAGAGAGAGACCATATTCACCTAACTTTCCTTACAGTATATTGTATTTTATTATCAGTTATTGTTGTTCATCTCTTACTGTGCCTGAGTTATAAATCAAACATTATCATAGGATGTCTGTAGAGGAGAAAGCATAGGACATGTGGGACTCTGTACTATCTGTGGCTTCAGGCATCCAGTGGGGGTCTTGGAAGGTATCCCATGGGTAAGGGGGCTGCTGTACTGTTCAGAGGTGGAGCCTCTGGGAAGTGGTTGCATCGGGAGGCCTCATGCTCATGAATAGGATGAGGCCCTTGTACAGAGGTTGAAGGAGCCGCCTTGCCTGCCACTACATGAGGATACAAGTCTCCCTCCATGGCACACTCACCAGACACTGAATCTGCTGACACCTTCATCTTGGACCTCCCAACGTCAAGAACTGAGAAATACATTTCCAGTGTTTATAAATGACCCAGTTTTAGGCATTTTGTTATAGTAGCCTGAAAGGACTAAGATGCATACAGATCATTCTAAAGCAAAACACACAGGTGTGTACAGTGCTTCCAAAAGGCCCATCTGATTGTGCCCCTGGCTCCTCCATTTTGTCTACCTGGGCATGAGCTTGCATCACTTTCCTTCTGAGCTCAACACATGACGTCCATGTCCACTCACTCCTTCCTATGCTCTGAAGGAACACTGAGAAGGCCCCACCTCCTGTAAGGACATGCATAGATTAGCTGGTCGAGGCTCGGGGTGTCCATTGGACAGTGGGTCTTAAACCTGGTCTCAAGCCAGTATTGGTTAGGGACACTGTCTAAAGCCCAGATTCTCAGGGGTTAGTCCAGACACACAGCTCAGAATTTCAGGTATGGGTTCTGGGCAGCTGTTAGAACTTTGAGTTCCCCTGGTGATAACTGACGCAGCTGGTCTCAGGAGCAGTACTGGAAATCCCACTCGAAACCTGAGGGTGTCACTCACTTCTTTCAGCACCTATTTTGATTATTTTCTAAATAAACCATTTGGATTATGTTTACATTATAGATTAGCCTTCAAGACTTGCATACATTTTTAGAAAAAATTAAAGGAAATTTCACACTTGCTGTGCTGTATGGCTTCACCCACACACGCACCCAGGCTACACGCTCTCACTCCCTGCTGCCTTTAAGGTGCTTTGCGGGAAAAATGTGAAATGGCAGATTTGATGTGCTGTTGCCTCTCCCATGATGCCTTGCCCTGTAAGAAGACCTCTGGAGAAAGAGCATTCAAAGCTTCTATGGAATTAAATTAGACATAAATAAATGAAAATAATGGTAGAAGTGTAGACACTGTAGATCAGGCAAGGTTTGGCATGAATAGCATGAATTCAGGGCCCTTCTGCTCATTCCAGGCAGACGAATAATAGCAGCTGCCATTTATTGAGCACCTACTAGGTCAATGCAGCATCTCTGCAGGAGAGACATTGCCATCTGTACCTTATCAATGGCAAAACTGACCCTCGGAACAGTGAACTGACCAACTGCACAACCTATGAGGTAAGATTTGCATTCAGGTGCCCAGAGCCCTGGTTCTTCCCTCTGCATAATGGGGCCCTCTTTAGGAAGCAAAAGCTGGCTATAGGCAGAAGACTCATCCTGAAAATGCAGTGGTACATCTGAACAGCCTCTGTCTCCAATCCCCACGTAAGTAAGAAGTGGCCTTTTTGAGCCGGGAACTCTAGATAGCAAATCAGAAAGATAGGGTATCTGAACCCCACAAAATACTAAATCCTAGCCACCTCAGGGTCTGGATCAGCACCCTTAAGGGAACTCTGTTGCTTTTTAACCTGAGTATTGTCATCCACAGGGTTCCAGCCAGTTGAAACATAATACCTCGGTTGTATTTAGGCCAGTAGCTTATGGCTGGTTGAAGTCCTCCCTCTCTGACAGGCTCCACACCCTCTGATATCTGAACCCTCTCTTTCTGATGAAGTTGGACAGTGTGAGTGTGAGGGCCTCTGGACCGTTGTCAGACATCTGCTTCACAGCACCAGTAGAACAAAGGGCCGTAATTGGAAGAGGAGCCCAGCCATTGTACCTCTCTGATAAGACTACACAGACAGCTCGCCTTTTAGAAAAATAAATGGCAAAGGGAGTAGCGAGGATGATGTCCTGGGACCCAGCTCTCCAGAGTAGAGGTCCCATGAGCCACTTCTGCCTGACTCCACCAGGTTCGATGCACTGCCCTGCCCTGGGGCCTCGGCCAGGAGCTGGCTACAAACCTCCAAAACCTTTCTCTGGTCTCATTGTTATGCAGACCAATTTTTCATTCATCTGGAATCCACTGTAGCATTTTAATGTGGGAAGCCTGCTACTCCATTTCTCTCTCCTGAAGAAAAATGGCTTAATTTCTCTAGCTGATAGATTTTTTTCTGATCCTTCAGACAGTAGAAAAAGACCATGGAAAATCAGCTGTTGGACTCTCCACAGACATTTTATGACGGCCATAAACAGGGCTATGGCGGGATGACATGCCAGGCAGCATCCTGATGCGTGCCCTAACCGTTATTATCAAGCTCCTGCAAAAATGATGGATAGATAGATGTATATATAGATGGCCGTTGGATCAATCGATTGATAGATAGATGATAAGTAGGTAGACAGATAATTGCTAAATACAGAAGTAGGTAGGTATGTAGATGAATGGGTGGATAAACCATGATAGAAACTCGTTTCCCAACTGTATTTGAACAGAATAATCTACCCCTCCCATATTTTTCCCTGCAGACATGTGAGATTTTTTTGATAGCAAATCAGTTCAGACTCCCCTACCTACCTACCCACTCCCAAATTGAGACAGATTTCATCAGTAGAGGAAAAATCTACTTAGGAAGGAAATTAGAAGCAAAATTGGGGCTAATCATTTTAGCTGTGTGTTCTATTGTTTAACCCACGAAGCTCAGAAGGATGTAATCAGTCCATCTTGTCTGTGGTTCTTCCTCCACGGCTGAAGGTGGCTTGGTCTGGTCTGGCAGAAAGGGGCCAAGGACAGGGACAGGCTAGGCCCACCTCTGGGTAAATGGACTGGTATTTCATTAGAGGAGTGTGGTGGAAGTGTGTAGCATAGACTCTGGAGCCAAACACCTTGGGTTTAAACCCCAGATCTAACTTTGTGACTTCTACACATTAGTTAACCTTTCCATGCCTCGGTTTCTCCATTTACAAAATAAGGGTAATAGTAGTTCATGCCTTGTATGATTGCTGTTTAGATTAAGTCACTTAGTACACCTAAAGCATTTAGCACAGAGGTTGGCACATAGTAAGCCCTTCAGGGGAGAAGCCAAACCTACTCCCCTGAGTAAGCAAGTTTACTATGCAAAAGATAAGACTTTAACACCCACAGAAAGGTCATCAAATTTAACAAACTTAACCAACTTAACCCTAGCTTTGGGGCCAGAGATTGCACTTAAGTGAAACCCTCTTCCTTTATACTGTTTATTGATTTTCCCCAGGAACCAAAGCAACAGCATTCAAATCAATAGCCCAACACGGACCTAGACTCTGAATGAAGAGAAAGTGAACTCCAAAGTTGGCCCCCAAGCCAAGGCCTCACCCTAAGAGCTTGTACCTCCAGGACAGAATCCACAACCTTCTGCTGTTGCATCCTTTGAGGAACCACCTGGACAGTAGATGTCCCTCAGAAGCCATGACTGAGTTAGCAGACTTCATCCTGCTGCTGGGTAAATAAAATATCCATAATCCGGGCTGGATGGTGGTGCAGCAGTAAAATGCAATTCTCTGTGAGGCTGACTCATATGGGAAGACTATGAGCTTGCTTCCAGAAACCTCCCTGAGTACACCAGGCATGCATTTATGCCCATGATCTAGGGCTGGCTGAGGCTGGGGATGGATAGTGGAGTCAAACTCCAGTTAGGGTGTTGTCTCTCTCTCTCATCTTTTTCACTCATAAAATGAATGAATGAATGAGTGAATAAAAGAACACATGTATTCTTGGGCATTTCTGTAGTTAGAAGTTGCCCCAACTCCTACATTAATGTTAGTTGTCCCTTCATTAATGTGCTTCTTGATAGCTCATTTTGGTGTCTGGGACCTTGGAGGAGCTGTGGATGATAAAAGTGTACAAAGGGGGAGCATTACACTGATTCCTGCCATTGTCTCGGTGCCCCTTCCACACATGTTACGGGGAGCAGTTAGAGATTCACTTTGGGACCTGAAAGCCCCAGTCACTAGTAAGCCTTGTTCCCAGCCCCTCCCACCACCTGAGCCAGTCAGATCTCCCCCTGCCAGCCTGCATTCATGATAAGTGGTGTGCAGGCGGCCAGGACTTTTGGTCTTTGGAGAACAGGATGTAAAATTAGAGTGTGTCAACATAATGGAGTACTATGTTGCTATAAAAAATAAGTGTGTGGATTGTGTCAATATATGGAAATGAGCATGTGAAATAATGTTAAATGGAAACAAGCAGAACACCTACCAGTTTGCACATGCTGATTGCAACTCCATCAGTAATTACATCTGCACTCCCATAAGCAAGACTAGATGCAGATTTGGAATGGTGTAAACAGCAGGCTATTTCCTGAAATCATTTTTTCTCTCATACAATCTTACATATTTTTATTTTCATTTACTTTTAAATTACTTTATGTAATTTATTATTACTATTATTATTTTAATTTGGCCAGAGAGAGAGCGGGAGAGAGGAAAAGTGAGAAAGCCAACCACCAGGTATAGGACTTGAACCACAGTTGGCCATGTGGGAATCCAGCATCTTAACCACCATGCCATCTGCTGGCCCCCATATTTTTATTTTTTATGAGATGAACAGGAGATTTGGACTGGAACCAGAAAGAGAAGCATTTAAATGCTGACACAACTAGAACAGGAAGGGCTCTACACAGTGGTTGAAAATCTGCAGCAAGGAAAGCCTGGAAATACACATGGCTGTATGAGCTATGTAGACCCTGCTCTGCCCAGACTGCTGCCACCCCAGCTAGAGTAGGAATGCCAGCACCATGCTCTCACCTGGCCAGAGAACAAAACTCAGGCATACAGGATGCAGAGGAGCCTCCAAACAGGTGCAATTTTTTTCCCTACTATGTTCACACTCTGCTTTACGGTAAGGTGACCACCTCCCAGTGTGTTCAGACACAGCCCTGGTTGTCCTAGTATAACTGTTAGTAGCATCCCCTCTATCTCAAAAAGTGGCCCTGCCAAGACAGTAACGTACAGTTAGCAGACTTCATCCTGCTGCTGGGTAAATAAAATATCCATAATCCGGGCTGGATGGTGGTGCAGCAGTAAAATGCAATTCTCTGTGAGGCTGACTCATATGGGAAGACTATGAGCTTGCTTCCAGAAACCTCCCTGAGTACACCAGGCATGCATTTATGCCCATGATCTAGGGCTGGCTGAGGCTGGGGATGGATAGTGGAGTCAAACTCCAGTTAGGGTGTTGTCTCTCTCTCTCATCTTTTTCACTCATAAAATGAATGAATGAATGAGTGAATAAAAGAACACATGTATTCTTGGGCATTTCTGTAGTTAGAAGTTGCCCCAACTCCTACATTAATGTTAGTTGTCCCTTCATTAATGTGCTTCTTGATAGCTCATTTTGGTGTCTGGGACCTTGGAGGAGCTGTGGATGATAAAAGTGTACAAAGGGGGAGCATTACACTGATTCCTGCCATTGTCTCGGTGCCCCTTCCACACATGTTACGGGGAGCAGTTAGAGATTCACTTTGGGACCTGAAAGCCCCAGTCACTAGTAAGCCTTGTTCCCAGCCCCTCCCACCACCTGAGCCAGTCAGATCTCCCCCTGCCAGCCTGCATTCATGATAAGTGGTGTGCAGGCGGCCAGGACTTTTGGTCTTTGGAGAACAGGATGTAAAATTAGAGTGTGTCAACATAATGGAGTACTATGTTGCTATAAAAAATAAGTGTGTGGATTGTGTCAATATATGGAAATGAGCATGTGAAATAATGTTAAATGGAAACAAGCAGAACACCTACCAGTTTGCACATGCTGATTGCAACTCCATCAGTAATTACATCTGCACTCCCATAAGCAAGACTAGATGCAGATTTGGAATGGTGTAAACAGCAGGCTATTTCCTGAAATCATTTTTTCTCTCATACAATCTTACATATTTTTATTTTCATTTACTTTTAAATTACTTTATGTAATTTATTATTACTATTATTATTTTAATTTGGCCAGAGAGAGAGCGGGAGAGAGGAAAAGTGAGAAAGCCAACCACCAGGTATAGGACTTGAACCACAGTTGGCCATGTGGGAATCCAGCATCTTAACCACCATGCCATCTGCTGGCCCCCATATTTTTATTTTTTATGAGATGAACAGGAGATTTGGACTGGAACCAGAAAGAGAAGCATTTAAATGCTGACACAACTAGAACAGGAAGGGCTCTACACAGTGGTTGAAAATCTGCAGCAAGGAAAGCCTGGAAATACACATGGCTGTATGAGCTATGTAGACCCTGCTCTGCCCAGACTGCTGCCACCCCAGCTAGAGTAGGAATGCCAGCACCATGCTCTCACCTGGCCAGAGAACAAAACTCAGGCATACAGGATGCAGAGGAGCCTCCAAACAGGTGCAATTTTTTTCCCTACTATGTTCACACTCTGCTTTACGGTAAGGTGACCACCTCCCAGTGTGTTCAGACACAGCCCTGGTTGTCCTAGTATAACTGTTAGTAGCATCCCCTCTATCTCAAAAAGTGGCCCTGCCAAGACAGTAAAGTACATGGGGCCCACTCAGGCCCCCTCTTGCTGCCTAGGACTGTATGTTATCCTTGCCCCCAAAGTCACCTAAAGACTTGTACATAGATATTGTCATCCGCCCTCACAATGACCAGGGGACCAAAAGGGCATTTCTGTTCCCAATTCACAAGGACTCTTTGCTGTAGAGATGGTTGAGGGTTGTGCCAGTGCTGGGCTGGAGCTGGTACAAGCCCACAGAGACAAATGGCACATCTCATCTAACTCCATG